CTTTCAGGACATATTTTCTCTCAGCTGACTTGACATGCATTTACATTATTCACCTGATGTCAGAAACTGTTATCACAAGTAATTTTCCAGCAAGATATAGAGGCTTATTTAAAATACATAATTACTTAAAAGTACTTGTGTTATTGGCAGATTATTTCACTTGTAATAATAAAATTTGGAACTATTACTTTTTTATCAATATTAATACTGAAAACTTACTTTTTAGTTAGTCTTATTTCAAGTGTACTAAGATATTTGCACTAGAAACTAGATGAAAATTACTTGGTAAGATTTGTATAATTGCAGTGCACATACAGAGTTCAGGTGGAGTTTAGAAAAGTTAAGGAGATACAAAATGCAGTTTCCAGATCTTTTTGTTTATTATCTGAAAGGTAATAAACAAAAACTTCACATTAATGTCATATTAAAATTATGTAATAGCAGTGAGATGAAAGCAGCTGGGAACAACAACCACCTCCGTGTTGGTGTAGTATGTATTCCAGGACGACCTCAGAGATTCCTGGCCTCCGATGTCCCACATCAGAAAATGGGTGTTGTTGACCACAATTTCCTCCACGTTGCTTCCAATTGTAGGAGAAGTGTGCACCACCTCGTTCATAGAGCTGCAGTATGACCGAAAGAATAACAGTTATTGAACACGAATACCAAACTGTCACATTTCAACAAATAAGCTTTGTGTTTACTGAGAAAAAGCATGCATATTTAGTGACTTTCATTGTAGTTTATGGGGCTACTTACAACTGGTAAAGAATGGTAGTCTTGCCTGCATTGTCCAGGCCAACAATAATGACTTTGTGCTCTGAAAAGCAGAAAGGCAACATATCAAAGAATGTGCAAACAACCATGAATTCATAATGTGGGTTTAGTGGCTTGGCATTGGCCGCGTGTCTCTTACATAAACTCAGCGAATGCACGCTGTGTTTTCTGACGTGGAAGCATACTTCCGTTTCCTGCATGAGGTTTTAGGAATAACTAGTTTTGTCACCGGGAGGCTGAGGTTTTGAAAACTGCAAACTCTTTTCAAAGTCAGATCAATCAGAGCAAAACTGCTCACACACACACACACACACACACACACACACACACACACACACACACACACACACACACACACACACACACACACACACACACACACACACACCCACACACACAGGTGCAATTATGGTGAAAGGTCCAAAGAACAAGTTTCTAGCTAAAAAACAAAAAGAGAAACAAGAATTGGAAACGGAAAGATGTCTCCGTCGATTAAGTAACATCTCTTATGGCATAAATAACAATAATGATAAAAAAAGTTCCTACATTTAGATCCTGTGACAAGACAAAGAAAGAGGAACAAAAACCAGTCGGTTTTGTTCTTGACTGTCAATTGAGGAGAAACTGGAACGTGACCAGAAAAGATAAAAGTCCCCATTAAACTATGATGTTCACTTTCTTCACTTTCTGAAGAAAGTGTGCAGTGATATCTCTGAACTATTAGGCTGATTAAGTCACATTCAAAAGCAGGTGGTATAGATTTCTGTGATCTTCTCTTGATATTTGGGTATTTTTAGTACATCAACACAGAATTGAACTTAAAAAGGCAACAGTGAAACCTGTAAAAAAAAAAAAGTACATTTTCAGGAGCATTTTACTACAGTGGATTATAGGTAATTTGATTGAATTTCCATTCCAAGTAATATCTACACATTTCCTTGCTGATCTACTCAACGGTGTTTCCACAGCTCACCAACTTAGGTGGTTAAATTCACACTTTCAGCTTTCTTGCATTTGCAATAATTTTTTGTTCTATCTGTCCTTTTTCTTGATTTGGTCATTTTTCTGTGCGTTTCTAAAATGTCTGTTTGTTTTTAACCTTTAAGAGACCCTGATTCAATCAAATTGGCTCCATGAAGATTGACAGATTTACTCTGCTGAACACAACCTTTGTGAGCAAGTCAAAATGAAATTATAATGTTTAGGCAATGTTCAATGGCGCTACAATGGTTCTCTCATTCATTCAGATGTTACTTTGACAGCTGTCTCAACAGATTGTATGACTGATCTTTTTTTATGATTTAGAAGATTTTTAAAGAACACACTACAGTCGAACTTCTGTTGGACGTCCTGGACAAACTACCTGATTCACTAAGACTCACTAACTTAAAGGACCTGCAGCTAAATGTTTGCTATCGGACGCAATGGAAGTTTTGCAGGGACCTAAGTCTTTACAAGCAGAATATAAAGACATGTTTAAACTGTTTGTATGAGTGGAAAGTTTATGCAGGATGACATTCAGGGTTTCAACTAGAATGAAAAACTTAAGTTACAAAAATATGAAGGTGTATGAGCAGGCATCATAATTTGGAAATAGGCAGGAGCAGCGTTGGCACAGTTCAATGCATCAATTATAAGCCTAGCTTAAGCAGTTTGTCACTGCGGTGTATATATATATTAAAAACCTATTTAAAATAAACTTAGCCTGGTGGGGAGACAATTATAGCCTGGTGGGCCACCAGGCTTGTAATACACTGGGATTAGCCCTGATATTGTTTTCTAAGCGAACTAATACCGATTCAAAAAGTTTTACCTCTACTGCTTTTACTAATTCAGGTATGAAAAAGTCTAAAAACTACGACATAAATCTGTTTCGTGAACTCACAAAATTAAAACGACTCACTTGTCATCTTAAGTTTCCATTTGATGCAGTCATATCAAGATGCAAACTCTACTTGCCACAGTAAAAATGAGCTAAATTTCACTAAATCTGATTTGTTCAGCCTCCTTGTTCAAATGCGATCCTCATGCCTTTTTACATCTCTTTGTAAAAGAAACGAAGCATCACTTGTCAAGCTAACAGCATCTCATTTGCTGCCAATGTAATTAATACAGGTTGCCGAATATAATTTCAGTTCAAGTAAATCAGCACTGGATGTTTTAACCCTCTCAGGCTCAAATTACTTGCAAAGACTAGCTAAGTAGCATTTAGCTGTTGCAAATCTGCAACATCTGCCTGGAGAGGGTTAATACAAAGACCCATTTACGCCCCCTTTACAGTCACTCAGAAAAATGAAGCTACAGAGGCTTGAAAAACAACTCTATGGGGAAGCTTATTTCAGAAAACCTGTAACTTTGATCAACAAAAGGCGTTTGGCTCAGACGAGGTTGTGCGTGCAGCTCACTGCAAAAGTGCCAGCAAAAGTGCAACTGAAACAGAGACAGCAAAGAGTAAGAAAGGTCACGCAGGTGTGAAATTCAGCTGCTTGCAAACCGTTTGTGCAAAGAAACTGTCGATATCTTTATATGTGGGCTACATGGGGAGGATGTGAAGTTAACTGTAGAAATGATGAAGCTATAACATTTTCAAACTCCTTTTCCGTACTCACACAGACTTGAAAAGATATTTTAATTTCAAAAAACACTCCCCTTCCTGTTGTTTTTTTACTGACTCAAATCTTTAATTGTTCGAACTAACCAAATACCACATGGCAAACTTCATAAACACTGTTAATACAATGTAAAGACACATTTTCGCCAGGATGTTTTTATTAAGCTTAGTCGAAATTAATTTCAGTCCCTTTAAACCAGATACGATGATATCTGGTACTAAGGCAGGGGCAGTCATTGTAGAGCAAACATTTAAGGGCTGCAGGCAACACAAATTCAGCAATGAAAGATTTAAATAGACCCTGATCTGCACAAAATACAGAAAAGCTAAGAGATTATAAAGCAACGGCATTTTAGTTGACATAAACTAATGCATTCAACAGAGTTAGCTTCTAACTAACGTGTTCTGAGAATGGCAGGACAGAGAGGGTCAAAAACAGTAGATAAATAGTAATCTGCGTTAATAACATCATAGTGATAAGGTGATGAGCGAACAGTGGCAGAGTAAAGTCAATGTGATTCACCCATTGATCTGCACCAGGTGATTACTGGTGTCCACTGTGGACCAGGTGATTACTGGTGTCCACTGTGGACCAGGTGATTACTGGTGTCCACTGTGGACCAGGTGATTACTGGTGTCCACTGTGGACCAGGTGATTACTGGTGTCCACTGTGGACCAGGTGGTGTCCACTGTGGACCAGGTGATTACTGGTGTCCACTGTGGACCAGGTGATTACTGGTGTCCACTGTGGACTGCTCTGTTTCTGCCCTCATAGCGCCTGTGCCATCGGCTCACGTTACCGGGTCTGTCTTAAAGACCTGTTTACCGATCCGAGCTCTGAAGACTTGGTTTCACTTCCCTCCGCTTCCAAAGGCTGCGGGCATAAATAATCCAGCGACCAGCTAATAAACACTGAGCTAGTGGGGAACGCTGCTACTCAACAAATAAAAGCAAAGCAGCGGCTCTAAATGAGGGTGATTTTCCCGCACACGGACACTTTTATGGTCACGACAGAAACATTTCCACACTGTCACGCACGCAGAGCTGGCTCCCTGGTTGCTGTGTGGGATCGGACCAGTGGGCCTTCCACTACCACAGAGGCCAATTAGCTTCCACGGCTTCACATCCTCTCCCCACCGGGGTCTCTTACCTTGGTGATTGAAAAGCCTCCACAGCTTCGTGAAGAGTATCCCCATGGCTAACGGTGAAGTTTGCTCGGTGCCAGCTTTGGAAATATCGGCTGCCGCTTAGCTAGCTAGCATTGATATGTATTGCTATCAACTTGACTTAGCTAGCCAGCCTGGTAACTACGCCGACAAAACAGCTGCAAAAGCGTTCAACTACAACCTCCATGCTGGCATCGCCTGATATTACTTCAGAAGTTCCTTTCCAGAAGACATGATATGGAAATATGACGGCTAGGAACGAGAGAACCGAGACAAAAGTGGCAACCAGTGTGGCTAAGTGGTTGATATCAGCTGGCTGTTGTGTTGTAAAGTGCGCTGAGCTGTCAAGTTGGCGCATGCGCACTATCACTCCCAGTAATATAAAATACTGATATAATATAATATAAGATTAATATAATATAATATAATTTAAAAAAAACTACCATCCATACAACAGTGCAGTTTATTTCAATACAGTTGTAAAATGACAATTCGCACATACATTCTAATCTCTCTCACTAGTTTTCATATTTTTATGTTGGTGCTAAAGATTTTGTTGTCTGGAAATAACAACAATAAAAACAACACTCATTTATGACCCATTGAATTAAAATAACTGTTGCATGTCATAGTACAGGGTAGAAGAGTGTATCACTGTAAGATTATGCTCAGTTTTTTCCATGTTTATTGGAGGTGCACATTTAAATAAATAAATGCCAGAAAACCCACAACATTTAGCAAAAAGCAGCAATCGAACAGAAGTGAAATTAATAATAAAGATAGTTACATGTAACTGTTAGCACTGGCCAGCAAAAGCTCTAATGCAGGGTCGCTCAAACTTTTTGAGACCAAGATCTACTTTTTCTCTCACCAGCCGTCTGAGATCTACCTCATGGCATGAAGACATACAAATTATAAATTAAACCCTATTGACTAATTTTCTATGCAAATATACTGTACATCAGTTATATCAGAAATGATAGAAAACCTAATGCAGTTTCTTCCTCACTGGGAGCAGGTTACTGGTTTCTCAGTCAGAAGCTGGTTGCAAACCTGAGGCCAGCAGGTGTCAGTCAGTTATGGTATTATCTGAAATTTGGTTTGATGACGTCACTATGCGAAACTGCAGACTGACAGGAGGAAGAAAAGAGCTCTGCAGAGGTAAAGGCAAATCTTCTGAACTTGGGATATAATTAATGTAATTTGACACAATTATTGTGGTAGAAGCCATTTGTTTGTTAAAATTTAATCAAATATATGTGTCCTATATGACGTTTGTTGTGACGTTTACTGCAAACGAACGAGGTAATTAGTCCAAGTCTGTCGTTTATTGAACGTTCAGAAACTCCAGCGGCTGTGACCGGTAGATCGCGATCTGTATCGAGCACCATTAGAGTCTAATGGGTCTAGAAAAGTCCTTCCTTTATTCTTTAGTTTTCCATTTTTATCCAAGAATTTCTAATGGAAGTTAAAATAATGTAAAAAGTTTCACCTGAAAACAAAGAAGACGGTCAGGATCAGCTTCTGCCCGGTGAACATTTTACAATTATTATAAAACCTTTAAAAAAAGAAATCTTGATCTGAGTTATATGCAGTCCCTTGAATCAAACCAATGGAATGTCATCAGATTTACAAAAAGTTGAGTTTTAGGTTTCCCTCCTGTCATTTTTGACAATATTTACACATGGAAGCCCTCAGTGTGTCACAAACTAAAAATCCACTCTTGTATTTTCATAATCATGCCTTACTAAGCTCAGACACAAAATAAAACAAACTAAATGCACATCATTCCACGACAGCTACAGTGCCTTACAAAAGCATTCATGTTACCGTCTCACTCTTTAAAGCTTTACAAGTAGATGCTGTGTGGAAACCCAACATAAAGTACCAGATCATTGGAAAGGAAAGCAGAATGATACATGTGTTTACATTTCAGTTTTGATTGCAGCTTATAATGTGTAAGATGAATGTACAAGATCAGGAGGCTGACATTTTTGGCTGTTGAAGCTCAGTGAGATTACATGGAAAAAATCTCAGCTGGATTTAGACGCAGACTTTGACAGGACCATTTTAACACTAGACACCTAGCACACCTTCTGCATACTGCAATAGTTCTCTTTTTCCCCCAGTCCTGTATCACCACAGGTATATACCGCCACCACCATGTGAATACTCTTGAAAGGCACTGTATATGAAGTAATACACCCAAAATTATCCAGACGGGTAAGACAACAAAACGCTACACTTCCACCCTTCGTTTAAAACATAGTTCTTGTGCTACAGGTCCACCCTCGTATTCACGTCATAGCAAAGGCAGTAGTTTTATATTTATATTAGCTTATAGATGTCCATTTGGCAACGACAACCAAGGTCAAAAGGGGACATGAGGCTCTACACATACATAAGAGATAGTTCCAGTTCACATGACTGATTCATCATGACGCCTCAGCGGTTGTGTTCAGACGAGTATCAGTCCTGACTGAAGAAAATCATTGTAACCTATTTAGGTCACGTTAACAGAGAACAGCTGAAAAGTTACTGGGTTTATCAACGGCGGTAGAAATTTCACTCCAACTCCTCCCCTTGTTTCTATTTATATTTTCTTTGCACAAAATGTTGAATGAACATTCATGTTGTTTCCAATAATCATCTCCGATGTCAGCTGGCGCCGTGTCAGCTGTTTGGGATTCTCCTCCGTGTTTCCCCTCAGAAAGCAAGGAGGGGAATCCGTGCTTTCTGATTGGCTACCGGTCACAATCCACAGGCTGTGTTAATGCTCCCAGTTGGGGAAGACCTCTGATTTAGATGGGAGTGGCAACGATGATCCACTGTAACACACATCACAAGCGACAATCTTAGAACGTTGGATGTTCTAAGATTGACGTTGGGGGCAAAAAGTGGTGTAGTGTAAACTAATGCATCAGGCAGTCTATGTGCCCATCTTCTCTGATGATTACTGAAGGGCAATCTAGTATACAGACAGTTTACATTTCTAACTTTATTAGGTTTTTTTTGTTTTGTTTTCTCTACTTCTTCTCTTACACTCTCCTTTACTCCTTACCTTATAATCTTTCTCAAGGAATGTAGTTGCATTTTTGATTTGACTGTTATAAGGCAATGGTCTACTTGTGCACCTTCTTCCAAATGTTGGAGTTGATTTTGTGATGTAGATGCCTAGGACTATGTAAGTGATACTTTCTTGAGATAAAACTAAAAAAAAGTAGCAAAAAAGAAAACAACACCATAGTACAAAATAGCCCAAAGAGTGCTATATGAGCGCAAACAAAGTAATATTAACAACAGTGGTTCCCAAATATAGCTTTTTGGTGATAAAACTTATTTTCTGTTAATTTAGAAAATGTAATTAATTCATCCACAAAGAAACATATTATAACAAAGGACAGAAAAAAGAAAAAGACAAAAGAAAAAACATCATAGTATACAATAAGTCAGGGAGTGCCAAATATACCCAAATAAAATAATATTAAAAACAATGGCTTCCATATGTAGTGTTTAAGAATATAAAAAACATTTTGTGTATAATTAGAAAATGTAACACCTTCATTCACAAAGACCTTGACATAAAAACAAAGGACACAACAAATAAAAAGAAAAAGACCAAAGAAAAAACCACCATGATAGACAATAAGATAGGGAATGCCAAATAAACATAAATAAAATAATATTGACACCAATGGCTCCCATATGTTGCGTTTTAGGACAAAAAATACATTTTCTCTTTCCTCAAGAAAGATATCCGTTGTTGTAGAAAGATTTTGTGATGAAATTGTATTTTCTTCATCGATACTGTCACCAGATGTCGTCTTCTGTAGAACCAAGCTTGCATCTTCTGTCTTGACAGTCGATGCTTCAGGGAAAACTTCCCCAGCAGGGGAAGGATTGAAAGAAAGAGAATCGATGACAATGTTTCCAGACGAGCAAACTTCCCCAGACGGGGAAGGATCGAAACGAAGAGGATCAAATTCATCACTACTGCAAACCTCCCCAGGTGGGGAGGTTTGCTTCTCTGTCGAGGACAGATCAGAAAAAAAATGAATAAAAAAAGTCGTTAGCTAAGAAGGATCAAAAAGAAAAGAATCAAAATCATCATAACCTGTGAAGCAAGGTCACATCCTCAACTTGCTTCACAGTCGAGGATGGGTTGAAGAAAAAATCGTCAAAAAACATCGTACCCAGATGGAGTGTTCTTTTCCTGAGAGGTACCTTTTTCATCTTCTCTTCCATGAAATAGTTGATCACACAATTTCCTCATTCCGGTTGTAACAACATAACCGATTCCAAAACCAAGAGGAAGACACAAGCCGACTAGCATTTCCGCCATCGTGAAAATTCGTGTGCTGAAACAGTGCTGAGTTTTGAAGAGTTGGTTGGATATGAACTGGTGTTCTGAAGCACAAGCATTCATAACCTCAGGTGTTCTTTGATCATCACAGTAAGAGAAAAAGGCAGGAAGAAATTATATAGCCGATAATTGAAATGAGGTCGATAGTTTTAATTTATCGTGCGATTAATTGATTTATCGTTTATCGCGACACGCCTAAGTATCGGCTCACAGCCTCTGCCTGGAAGAGTCCTGGCTGTAGCCTCTGGGGGATCCGCGATTGTGGTGAGGCTTGTAAGAGTCTTGGTAGAGGTCTTGGTCGTCCTCCTCCATCGGCGGTGCCCGGGACAGGAACGTCCTCTTCCAGCGCTCCGCAGTAGCCGACGTTGGTTCTCACCGCAAATGTCACTGCTTTACTCTGTGACGTGAAAGGAAATAAAAGTTAATTATCGTCCAATTTTGTTCTCATTCCAAAGCCAGGAAGCTCATTTAACACAGAAATAAATCAGTTTGTAATAACCGCTATTGTTTGGACTTGTTTGGTTTGACTGAAACCGATTTGGCAGGAACACATTTATTTTTTTATTGAATTAAAATAGGACTGAAAATAATTGAATTCATCCAAAACATTTTAAATTAGAATTTTACATAAACTGAAGGCATAGAGGGGACACGTTCTCCATCTCTTCTTCTGAAACTGCAAAAGTCTGTAAAAATCCCCAGTGAAACTGACCTTTGCCCTCTCGAGCTGAACGGTGGCCTGCTGCTCCCTCTCCTGCCGGCCGCCCTCCTTCTCCTCCTCCAGGGACACATCTGAGTCAGACGGTCGGCTTGTGTGCACCATGTTCCAAATTATTATGCAAATGATGTTTTCCCCTGATTTTCCTAAATGGTCGATGCAAACCAGCCCGTGTAATAAAAGTCATCTCCTGTTACGAGTATAAATTGAATTTTACTGGACAAACCTCCCAATGATAACAGTATATCCTTCAAAAACAAAAATAAAAAAACTCAAAATCCACTGTTTATCTACTAAATTAAGCTTTTTTGTGAAAGGCAGCATATGTCTCATTCATGATTAGCTCTTTGACTTTTAGTTAATTGGAAGAGTTTGAAACCGGAGGGAGGGGCTGAGGAAGTGGACCCGGCTCTGTGCGTGGGAGCCGAGAACAGATAGAAAAAACTAAAAGTTCTGCCTTTATTTCTCACCGTCTTCATTGTAGAGCCTTTAAAACCACAAAATAAAATCGGAATATTTTCCTATATAAAACCTGGTGCTTTAAATGTTACATTTAAGTTATGATATTCCCCAGATATTTAATGTAATTTAAATAGCCCATAACTTGTATTGGGAGCCATTACAATACATCAATGTTTATGAGGAATTTTATTCAGAGCAGTTTCTCTAAGCATTTTAATTTCGAACCTTAAAAGTTTTCTGAAGGTGCAGAAGAGATTAGATCAGTCAGACTGAACAAAACTCGTATTGAAGCAACATTTGAATTTTAGCTTTACTTCTCAACAGGTTGCGTTACTCAGAAAAACACATTTGATGTGCATTACTAGTCATTTTTAGTCCTGCAACTTCAATGTGATTTCAAAACCTTCTGAACCACGTTTTGCGTCACATTTCACTCTGACTTTGCCGACGCCCCCAAAATTGGTCTTAAGGGACCTTCCTGTTTGCGGTCCGCCCCGATAACGAGACGGGATTTACGCCCTTGCTTGTGAGCGCTGGTCAGGGGACGAATCGCAGGCTTACGCACCACCGCGAGCCTTTCGAGGATCCGACACCTCGAGGTCCGCGGGACTCCGGAGGCACCAGCAGCTTCAAATAACTGCTTGCTGCTTTGCGAGGGCATTCTGGCAGCTGCTTTCTTAATCCGGCGAACTTGCCTGGCAGAGACCTTCCTCATCCTGCCTTTGTCTGCGCGAGCCCGTCTGTGCTCCGAGTCGGCCACAAACCTCTTCACGGTGCGATGATCGCGCTTAAGTCTTCGCGACACGTCCAGTGTTTTCATACCTTGCCCGAGGCATTGCACTATCTGACGCTTTTCGGCAGCAGAGAGATCCTTTCTCTTGCCCATGTTGCTTGAAACCTGTGGCCTGCTGAATAATGTGGAACAGCCTTAAGTAGTTCTCCTTGAATTGAGCTCACCAGACAAACTAGTTGTCTCGGATTGATCTGAGATTGATTTCAGTGATCCAAAGAGCCCTGAGACACAATATCATCCATGAGTTTAATTGAGAAAGAAAAAAATAATAATCTTTGCCAAACTTTAATCCAATTTGCATAATAATTTGGAACATGCTGTAGGAATCAGCCGAGCCCTGCAGAGCAAGCAGGGAAAGAAAGGACACCCACCTGTAACTGGAAGCAGTGAAAGGCAAAAAATAATAATAATCTCAATAGAAAACCAGCGTAGTAGCGCTATGGGAGTGATATAGATCAGCCTAGAGAAGGTAAGTATTTTGCAGCTGTGACTGAATCAAAAGCGTTCGACTGCAAATAGACGCCTGACCCGACAAGAACCAGTTAATGAAATGAGCGCAGAGACAGAGCAGTGAGTGGGAGTGTGAATGTGTTTGGACTGCTGATGTTTTTCATGACTGGTTTGTGTTATTTGTCCTGTGGGATCTAAAGAAGACGGATAGTAGATGATAAATCGTCTGGACTGAAAGATTCAGAAAGTTTTTCCCCCAGAACATGAAATCAGATCCATCAAGGGAAAAAATTTCTTCCTTTATAGAACAACTGTGAGGGTATAAATAGATTTTTAAAAGTTACTTCTGTGTGCGCTCCAATTACGCAGAGACCATCACTGGACAGACGTTCTCAGATTCACCTTCTTAAAGGGGCGGTATCATGTAATTTCCAGCACATAGCACCATTTTATACCACAATAAGGTACTTATGTTACCTTCAGTTATTATGAAAATGCCGAACATATCAAACACTACATAAAAGACATTTTACTTTGCAATTTGACCGCTTACAAAAACTGGCTTGTGTCTCTTCAAGAAGCTCACGTTCTTTCTGACACTCTGCCGTCAACATGTCATCACAACAATGCTCCTCCATTATGCCGTTTTTTTAGGAGCGCTGAACTGAGAAGCAGTGCTTAAGCTGAGCAGGTGTGGCGTTTCAGAAGGTGTTTGCTAATTGCTGCTGCCGCTAGTCTGAAGGAGCAGAGTGAGGGATTTGTAAGGGACTGCAGCTCCGAGGAGGAGCTTTGGGAAGCAGGCGCTGCTTTGTGAGAGAAAGACTTCAGGCACCAGAAACACTAACAAACCAAACTCAAGGATTTCTCCAACATGCATGAAAGAATCAAAGCAACACTTCAGGTATGTTTCTGATGAGAGAGTCACATTGTAACATCATAGAAAGCTAACGAAATAAATACATAAATTTTACACTTTAAGCTTCTTCTCAGATCAACTAGAACCAGAGTTCTAGTTGAGTGTTAGATGTTTAGTATTGTTTTGTATTAGTCCTGTTTCCGAGACTCATGTAAGAGACGCATCAATCCATTTGAGGACAGAGAGGGTGACCAGAGAAAAGCAAAAACAACCTTAAACAAGCCATGAGGATGAGGTTCTAAAATGCATTAAGGTTTGTGGCTGTAAGTCGTAAAGTCCAACATGAACTCTTCACTAGGAACTCTGGATTCTTCCCCTCTTTTCCTGTTCGTTAGCTGTTGTTGCTTCCCTGCCTCCTCGCAGAGGCACAAGAAAAGTTTTATTTCCCAAGAAATGTACTTAACAGCACCAAATCCTGCCTTTAGCCTCCTGGACTGGAATATATAAGGCAGCACCTTAAGCATACTTCAATAATTACCTCCACATCACTGCAACCAACACGTTGGGGTTGGCAGCTCCAGAAATCTTGGTACCTTTTGATTTTTGGCTTAAACATGACATCAAATACAGTCCAAAGTAAATGAGAAGTGTGGCTGTATATAAAATGTCTCTAAGGAACAGGTACAGTATGTACTGGGTGAGAATGGGCCACGCTCCCTCTGCAGGTGGGATTACAGAAGGAGTCTGAGCCTCGGCGGGATTCCCTCATCCTTTCCTTTGGAAGCTTCTTCCTGCCACTCTCAGACATAAGTGTAACCCATATCCCACATTTGCCTTTTTGTACTTTTAAAAATCGATAGCTATGCTTCTGTCTTTGGATCAAAAGGAATGCTAGAGTCAAACCAAATTTACCAAATGTTAGAAATTTCAGCGTTGACTTGAAAACACAGATGGGAGGAGAAGCTGTCATTCGGTTGAAAGCACAAAGTGGGAAAACTGGCACAGATAAACACACCCTGCTGCCTCCCATTCCCAAAGAAAGATGCAGCCTCTGTTCCCCTTTCAGTCTCATCCTCCTGTTTCTGCCAGGTCCAAACCACTCAGCGACAACATGAGAGCTTTATGTTTCGGCTTCTGTGCAGCAGATCGTCCCCCCTGACACCCAGTCCACTTACCGCCTCCGAGTCTTCGAAGCCATGACGGTAGAGGTTATCGTACATGGAGGACCGAGACTCCAGGAAAGCGAATCCCTAGCACGAAAGACCCGATCCGGAGAGGACGGATGAGGAGGAGAGGGGAGTCGAAGAGCGCAGCAGCAGCAGCTTCTTTCTCCACATGAAGGTAGACAGCGCTGAGTCCACGCCACAACAAAGAGGCAATGCGCATGCGCTGGCTGCTGGCGGCGCCGCAGCTGGGGAACAACAATCTGCTGGGGGGGAGAAAACATGGAGGTCGATCCCGGAGTCGCGAGTTCGAGTCCCACCAGTGGCAAAGTTTTGTTTCAGTAAAACAAATGTTTTGAATCTTGAAAACATTTTAAATGCTTTTTTTTGGTACAAATACTGTAGTGCTGTACACTAAAACACAACCCTTTTTATTTGTAAAACTTTATTGATGAATTGCTTAATTGATTTTGCTTCTTTTTTTAAAAAATTCTACTGATATATGATGTGTTCAGTTGTACTGCATACTCTGTACTTGACAGAATATTTTAATGTCCTTATTTTTTTTTCATTTTTCACAGCAAAACAATTTACAAACTAGAGTATTTTTTGAAGGTGTCTTTCCTGAAGTACTGTTTGAGTGAAAGTGAATGACATGTTAATGGTAAAAATATTACCAATAATTCAGAATTTGCAGCAGCCAATATTCACTCACAGTAAAAGACCATATTGATCTTATCGGTTTCAAAGAGCCAAATATTTATTCGTCATCAATAAAGGCAGCAAATTAAACATTTCTAGTTAGTCCAGAAACATTGCAGCATTCGGCTGCAACACTTTTCCACTCAAGTTTCCCATTTCCTTTTATAAACCAAGAAATAAGTGGTTTCCTGAAGGACTTAAATCCTCATGTGTTTATGGTTGGTGTCAGGTTTGTTATTTTAAACACGTTGTAGCTTTTAAACAGCTTCGGCAAGTCCAGTCGAATGGACGCTCTGGGATGTTGGCAGACAGGTGAGATCGCACCTGGAGGTGATGCCTGTCAAAACCCAGGAACTTCCGGGCCCTCGCGTGGACGCCAGCACCTGTAAGATGATTCCCACAAGCTCGGCAGAACACCCTGACTTTCCACTGATGGTGGGGCACCCAGGCCAGGAGCTGATGTGGGGGAAAAAAACCCTCTCAGGTGTTGGCACCTGATGGTAAACGATGGTAAACACTATCTTTCAGTGATGACAAAGATGTGCAAGAATTTCAAGAATTAAAAGGTATCTGAAAAAACAAACTTGGGTATAAAAACTGAATTAGAGTGAAAATATTATTTGTTTTCCGCTCATTTTCTAATATTTAGAGCCATAAGACACATATAAGCCTCAAAAAATAAAAACATGCAACCAACCAGGACCTCTGACTTCCTGTTCAGCCATTTAAATTCAAGTGAAATTGAATGTTGCACATACAGGAAGAAAACAGAGCACAGCTCCCTCTAGTGGCAGTTGGTGTTCAGAGAACAAAATCCTAATTTAATCTTAAAGCGTTGTTTTGAAATGGATAAGGCTACAATTAGGTTCCCAAGTAAAAAATAAAAGTTGACTTTAGATTCAGGTTGATATGTAGTTTCTCTGCAACAGTTTGACCAGGTATTATGCATCATGCATACATTTGATTCTATGGATTTGTGCACACAAATCTTACAAATGAAAGATTATTGTCGAAATTGTAAACTGTTGAATGTCTTTTATTCAAGAACAAATTCCTGGTTTTTTTTTTTCTTGTTTTAAGTAGATCAGATATTGAAAAACAATTTTTTTCTTCATTCCTTAGGCGCATAAAAACTTAAAGCCTGCAATTTTTCAGACTGTAAACACATCAGTAAATAGCATGTTCTTTGAATTTGCTTCTTGTTTGGTAAAAAAATCAGATGAAGATGAGTGGGTAGTTCATACTTTATTGAATTCAAGTCTACCACCTCTATCAAATGCCCTGCAGAACATTCGTTTCCTGTTTGGCTAAAGATAGTTACATGTAACTGTTAGCACTGGCCAGCAAAAGCTCTAATGGGTCTAGAAAAGTCCTTCCTCTATTCTGTAGTTTTCCATTTTTATCCAAGAATTTCTAATGGAAGTTAAAATAATGTAAAAAGTTTCACCTGAAAACGAAGAAGACGATCAGGATCAGCTTCTGCCCGGTGAACATTTTACAATTATTATAAAGCCTTTAAAAAAAGAAATCTTGATCTGAGTTATATGCAGTACCTTGAATCAAACCAATTGAATGTCATCAGATTTACAAAAAGTTGAGTTTTAGGTTTCCCTCCTGTCATTTTTGACAATATTTACACATGGAAGCCCTCAGTGTGTCACAAACTAAAATCCACTCTTGTATTTTCATAATCATGCCTTACTAAGCTCAGACACAAATAAAACAAACTAAATGCACATCATTCCACGACAGCTACAGTGCCTTACAAAAGCATTCATGTTACCGTCTCACTCTTTAAAGCTTTACAAGTAGATGCTGTGTGGAAACCCAACATAAAGTACCAGATCATTGGAAAGGAAAGCAGAATGATACATGTGTTTACATTTCAGTTTTGATTGCAGCTTATAATGTGTAAGATGAATGTACAAGATCAGGAGGCTGACATTTTTGCCTGTTGAAGCTCAGTGAGATTACATGGAAAAAATCTCAGCTGGATTTAGACGCAGACTTTGACAATTTTAACACTAGACACCTAGCACACCTTCTGCATACTGCAATAGTTCTCTTTTTCCCCCAGTCCTGTATCACCACAGGTATATACCGCCACCACCATGTGAATACTCTTGAAAGGCACTGTATATGAAGTAATACACCCAAAATTATCCAGACGGGTAAGATGACAAAACGCTACACATCCAGCGTTTGACCTTTAAACATCTCTGTATTTGTGTGACTTTGCATACGACCGAAATGGGAGTTCAGGGAAAGTATGGGAAGCTACTGGATGAACTTCGAAGAAGAAAAAAAAAAAATATATATATATATAATGCTGTAAACAAATAGCAAAAGTCAATAATTTTGGAACAAGCTCGCACACATCGACGGCGGTAGCGCACAAACGTATTATTAATGGCATATTTTTGCTTTCCTCGTGTCTTCAGATACGTTTAAACTGAGTTGCTGAGTCGCGGCGGGATACTGTCAGGCACCGGCTTCGCAGCCCCCCACCTCCATGCTACAGGGACAGCTGAGATGGCAGGGAAAGTGTAGAAGACCCCACACTTTCACTTGCTAGTTGATTGAACTTACAAGCTACTTGTGTGACACATTAAAACAAGCTAAACCTCCAGCCTTCGTTTAAAACATAGTTCTTGTGCTACATGTCCACCCTCATATTTACGGCAGTAGTTTTATATTTATATTAGGTTATAGATGTCCATTTGGCAACGACAACCAAGGTCAAAAGGGGACATGAGGCTCTACACATACATAAGAGATAGTTCCAGTTCGCATGACTGTCATAGATTCATCATGACGCCTCAGCGGTTCTGTTCAGACGAGTATCGGCTCACAGCCTGTGCCTGGCGGAGTCCTGGCTGTAGCCTCCCGGTGATCCGCGATTGCGGTGGGGCTTGTAAGAGTCCTGGTAGGGGTCTTGGTAGTCCTCCTCCATCAGCGGAGAGTGGTCCCTGCTGTGCTGCGAGCCCGAGGACAGGCGGTTGCGGTTCTTCCGGGCCCGCTCGTTGTGGTAGTTCTCGTCCGCGGGCATCAGATTGCGGCGCTCCACGGGCGAATGGTCGGCAGTCGTGTGGTTGCTGTTTCGATTCTTTTGGGCCTATTTGAGAGAGAAATATTATGAATGTGCAGTTTGCATGTGTGTATAAAAATAAACAAAAGCTATTTTCCTCACTGTCTGACGTTAACGCAGATCAAGAAATAAACCGGACACGGGCAAAAATCTTTGTCTCGTACAAAAGCTAGTGGATACTTCAGCAGCCCAAAGGACCTGCGGCTTTAACTCAAGTTGCAGGTTATTCTACAAAGTACTGATTTAAATGCAATCCATGCTTCTCAGACTTTTCTGAGAAAAGAAATAAAAATACAAAAAGCAGGTGTCATGTTCCTTTCACTTCACGCTACTTTGTGTTGCACGTTCAAAGAAAACACCAACAAAAAACACTGAAGTTTGTGTTTGTAGCAAGATGTAAAAAAGATGAAGCTGTATGAAAACTTTTTCAAAGGCACAATTTTAAATGACAGGGGTGAATAATAAAGCGTTTGACCTGAGTTTTATTGTTAAACTTGAATGGTTTGATATTTCGACTGGTCAAAATGGCAAATTAAAAAAAAACAAACGATGAGGAACAGCTAAATATTCAATTACATGCAAGGAAAGGTGAAAATGAATTGAAGATTAACGAACGAAAACAAGCAAACAGAACCCAACTCTACGTTCACCTGGATGGCAGCCGGATACGGGGAGAGAGCAGTGGAGCCCAGATTGCGTCCCAGCAGGGGGTTGAGCGGCGTGCTAAGTGAAGTGTGGGTAGCGCGCCAGTACGCCTCCAGGTATTCTGCCAGGTGTTCGCAGGCGTCTTCAAGCTGGTTCTCGTCCAAAATAATGTCAAACATCTCCTGTGGTTTGGGGGGGAAGGAGAGCGGGGAAAAGTTGCTGGAGTTTTGCAAATTTCGTCACTCGTGGTTGCAGAGATAAAATGAATAACAGTATTCGAGGAGTCCACTCACAGATGGACACTGGGACAGTTTTTCTGCCGCGACAAGCTGCACGTTCAAGTGTTTGCTCTGGGACTTCCCTCGCGATTTGATCAGACGCTGCAAGACCTGTCAACACATTCAACTAAATATCTCCAAATATGGAAGTTGTAAGAAATGCATGCTTGTCATTCGAGTACTGCTTTTTTGTAGTCATTTTTGTGCCTTTCAAAAGAATGAACACTTCTTGAACTTTTCCACATTCCAACCAAAATCTTCAATCAGTTTGATCAGGATTTTAGGCTAACACAAAGTAACACATACACTTCACATTTTCAAAATGTCCACCGTTTTGAGATATACAGCCCAATCAGAACTAACCAAACCTCTACCACATGATGAAATAAGATGGTAAAATTGCAGAGTAATGTTAGTGTCAGTCAGTAGGTTGTGTTTATGACTTTAGTTCACACTAAAAACTCAGGGTATTCACTTAAGAATAGCATATTATTAGCTGCTACGTACATATCAAAAGCTAGCTAGCCATGTTCACACAAAACTACAAAGAAGATTTCAAAAGTGTGGCCTGCATTTGAACTTAGTTGCCTTTATTTGGTTACCCCTAAATAAAACTCTATGTAGCCAACTGGCTACAGATTACTCTCAACACCATTCCCATAATGAAGCATGGCGGTGGCAGCTTCAGGCTGTGGAGATTTTAAAAAATATATTTTAAAAAATCTGAGAACTGTTGGGTCGTAGTTTGTGTTTTGTTTCACATTGTGTTGGTTTGTCAGATAAAATCTGCCGGTTTTAACGTAAATATAAAAAAGTTGAAGAGCTATCAATTCCAAGGCAGGATACTTTGACATATTTTGCTTTCAGCCTTACCTTAGGAGATGACACCTTAACATGGACAATAATGGGAGCTAATGAGGTCTTGATAAGCTGTGCTGGGTGATTAATTGTGTCTGCATCCAACACCACCAGCTGCAGAGATCTGGCCAACTCAAAGATCCTTTCTATTTCACTCTGGACCTCAGCTGTAAGAAAACAAAGACATATAGCAGGGTGACTATGAACAAGCAGCAGCATGAGACCGAACACCAAACGTCAATCTGCTCAAACACACACGAGACATGCACATCATTGAGCGAGACAGTTCCTGTAGCTTTACCGAGGCTGGAGCGGGTGTTGGACCTCTCAATGATGGCCCGTTTACTGGGGTTGTTAAGTACTGACCTCTTGGCCAACGATATATCGGCGGTGACCCTCGTGATGGATATTCTGCAACGAGGCAAAACATGAGTGAGCGCTGGCAGCCCGGCGACCAACAAACGAGGGACAGTTTGCTGACGCTGGCCGCTCACCTTCCATCGAACCTGTGCTTCAGGAAGTCAAACAGCGCTTTCTGCATCATATCCGTTACCTACAGCCATGAGTCAGAGATGGGAGAGGAAGCAGTGAAAAGACTGAAAGAGAAAACAGCCATGGTGTTCGGTACTGCCAGACCTTACAAGTTTCTTCTGTTCTGACTTTTTTTTGTCACGTTAGCTTGTCGCACAAGCTTTCACACCAGAGATATGTTTTCAAACGAGGATTTCATCAACCCTCTAAGGACACGAAGTTATCTGACGTCATCAAAGAACAAAACGCCATTCCTTTATCTAAAGAAGAAACCTCAAGAACAGATGAGAACCAAAGTCGCTGTCGTCCGACAGTCTGGAATGGATTTCAAACCCATTTCTAAGCCTTTGGGACTCCTGCAAACTGCAGTGAGAGCCGTTGTCCACAAGTGAAAAAAGTCGCAAACCTTGAAAAGAGTAAGTTTACATCTCTCCCATAACGTTAGACAATGTTCTAACAATGTCAGAAATGTACTCAGAACAGGATCTAAAGCAGTGCAGGCCTGATTTGTCTTCTGTAAGTCAGTGGGGATCATTCAGCAATAAGAAAAAAACAACGCAGCAACGGCTTTTAAGAGAGCTTCAGGACCAAAAAGAGCGAAAAGAGCTGTCTAAGTCCAAAAAGACACAAAAAAAAAAAAGAAATCACCCTTTTGATCCGAAGACTTGAAATAAAATGTTCTGTCAACCGATGAATCGAAAGAGAAACATTTTGAAAGTCCCCTTGGTGGTAATAAAACGTCCAGGGTTACTTTAGTACTAGAATGACTTGATGTAGCTTAAGAAGTCATGAACTCTGCTCTCTACCAGACAATTGGGAAAGAGAACGCTTGATCATTTGTTGACCTTGTTGATCCAAAGCACACGCAGAAGAAGTCCCTCACTAAACGAATACACACACACGTGTTTTTGATTAGCATGTACTTGTACCAAACGAGGATGATGTGACTTAATCCAAAAAGGCCGTTCATGCGTAAAAAAAAAAACCTCCAATGTGGCTGAATTAAAACAAAAGTGAGCTAAACATTTCCTCACAGTGAACTAAAACATTAATGGAGAGTCATAGCAATGTATGAAATCATCTGAAATATTTTAGAAGGGACGTGAGATTTAAATGCCTTCTCATAGGGCTGCTGTTAGGCAAGAGATCGTTACACAATTATATCTATAATAGCTCAAAATATTCATCCTGCCACACATGCATATGTTAAAATGCAGCAGAAAACGGACAGAAGAATCCTATCACTCCTTGCCGTGTGCTTTCCAGTGAACCAAATCTTTGCATTACACACTCCACTGAGCCGGAGCCTCCGCTATGGGAAGCGTTTGATTATGAGCTGCAGTGAATTGTCAGCAAGGCCACTGCACAGGTGAGTAACTGGAGCAGCAATGTTGCAACTTTGAATTTAAGCCGCTGACATTTGACGGCGTGGTTTGGATTAAAAACTCAAACTCAACCTCAAGTAATCGACAATCAAATGGAAGAAAAAACCCCAGAGACGCTCTCCTGGTGGAACGCTCTTCCAAATGCTGCTTTAGAGTTTAAAAGACACTGGTAGACAGCTAAGTGTCTCCATACACTTGCACATAAAACATACTTTGAAAGAAAAAGTAAGAACATTTTGCTTGGTTGATTATGAGAGTATACTTACTTTCTTTAAATGTTTGTCATAAAAGAAACTGTGACACAGAGGCATTAGGTTTAAAGAAAAAAATACAAGGCAACTCAGATAAATAGTGAAATAAAGATATATTTTTTTATACCTATTCTGACAGAGAATTACCCCTAAACCTTAAAAAAAGGTCTTTCTGGTGTGGAGTGTGTGCGATACGTGAATCAAAGCAGACAATTTTGCCAGCTCTTTCATTTGAATAAGTCAAATAAACTTGATTTAATTGCGTCTTAATGTTGTTTGTGATGAAGCACTTGCAAGTGCGGTGACTGACAGTGTAGGTGCACATCTTTACTTTTGGTAGCTCGCTCATGATCCTGCTGCGTTTTCATCCCCAGAGAAGAGTTTACAGCCACGGAAGGTCAACTGCACCATTTCAATCGGAGCCTGACACGACACACAAATCTCCTTTTCATCATCGCCTGCTCAACCACCACAAACAAATCCACATTCTGCCTACTCCCCCTCTACTTTAGGAAAACCGAACGCAACAGACGGCCGGCGTGAAAAAGATTTGAGGATTTTTTAATGTTTTTTGTTTCTTTTTCGCCGTCCCACACGCTTCGTTTCAAAGCGCGGTTCACATTATTTCTGTGCTGCTAATTTCGATCCGTGCTCCACTTTTTCAGACTGATGCGGTTTACCCAGAAGGTTGTTGCCAAGGCAACGCAGGGACGGGGAGGCGAGGAGTGTGATTCCATGACAACTGACTTCAGCGCTCCCCGTCACCTTTCTGGGTTTGCATTTCCGACCAATAACAAGAGAGGACATTTGATCTTTAATGTTGTGTTCGTGAGAGGCAGTGAACGGCGCAGCGTTTTCACTATCAGAGAGAAAAACTGGTTGAGAAATAGGAGAACTCCAGTTCATGAAGACAACCAAAATTAAAAAAAAAAAAGAAAGAGGTTGAGACTTGCCTCGTAGCCTTTCAGGGATGGACCCACCAGGACCACGGGCCTCATGGACGGAACCACGTCGTACGGGGGGACGTGTTCAGCCTGGAGAGGTGACAGCACACACAGCTGCAGTCACATCGCATAAGTGTCACTCAAGCTTCCCAACTCGCTCTATAGCCCTCCAATATGTTTAGAAACAAGCGGTTATTTTATGGCGCTCCATAAAGAACCAAAGGATTTATCCATCCAGTCTGACTGAATTTGAGCTATTTTGTGAAAAAAGACTTTGCAAAGACATCAGTCTCCAGAAGTGGAAACCTTGAACAGAGCCGCAATACAACTGCAGCGAACGAAGCCTCAACAAATCATGAACTCAGTTGGGCTGGAAACATTTGCAATGTGGATTTTTCCTTTTAGAATTTCTGCAAAAAAGTTAAAACAGTGTATTCTTCCCCTTCTTCCCCCTTCTTTACAATGATGCACAAATGTGTGTTTGTACATTGCTTAGAATCCAATTGGAACATTAGTTCACTTATAACACTTAAAAAAACAAATTATCAGAGGAGTATTTGCATGATTCCTCTGCATGTGTGTGTGTGTGTTTTCTCTAGTTGCTGTGGTTTTCCCTACTAGTCCAGAAACATGCAACTGGAGTCTATGTGCTGCCCTTAAATAAGAGAATGTGTGTTAATGGCTATTGACAATCTGACCCTCCAGTTATTGATAATGAAGTTATGATTGAGAAGGTAATAAACACACTGGAGGCTGGTAGATGGAATTAGATCATTATTATGTTGTTTATATAATAGAAATGTTTAGAAAATCACACTTACCACTTTTTGTTTTTGCTTTCCTGAAATTAGAAGTGGCAAAAGAAAACGCAATTAAGTGCGCTGCAAAAATTGCTCCATTGTAGTCATATAGGAAAAATAGGAACACAATCAAAGCAACACAGAGGCAATTAAATTCAGTTTTGAAAAGATCATGATCCTTTTTTCTTGTCAAAATGTATAGAGTACGTATGGCAGTCACCTGCTGAGTTTGGGTTTGGTTTGAACGTGCCGGACACCATTTCTCCCAGACTGGAGGAGGAATTTGCACTGGATTTGCTGCTGTAGTGATGAAAGCAAAGAGGATGAGCAAAGAATCTGATAAATCTGAATTTCTGTGTTGCATCTGTTAAAAAAAAATCCAATTAGGGTGCATTTAAATCATACAAAGAAATCTCAACTTAATAATGTAACCACATTCAATTCTACATAGAAACTGAAAAAAACAAACAAACAAACAAAAAAAAACAGGCAAAATAAAATCGCTCAATGTGAAACATTATTGTAAAGACTGGTACATAAATAATATACATAACTATTTAAAAATATAGATTAATCACTGCGTGAGTCAACAATCCTGGCTGTTCACGGCTGAATGCTGGGGGAGTTCATTAAGCGCACCGAACTCTATTTTTTGCAACAAAAGACTCAGAAAAGCAAAACGGTCTGAGCTGCCAGGTCTTTTATCTGGCAGCATCGTCTCAGCATCACTAATCATCTTGTTGGTGAAAACCCAACAGTCCCATCTGATGGAAAATTCTGCGATGGCTCCAGTCCACGAACACCTCGGCGAGGCTGGACCACACTGCACAGCCTGGCCGTCGTCCAGCCGACTTCTTGCTTATGTGTAGTTCACTGCCAGCCTGGCTGCTCGTCCCTGAAGTGTTTCTCTCCTAAACACAGACCCACAACACCCTCCCCTTCCTCCAAACTCTCCGTACCCCTGGCGGTGGAGCATATTACCGTGAAAATCTTAAAAGTGCCGGAAACAAGCAGAAAAATGGTCGAATGTTTTCTATAATTTCCGTTAGGATTTCAGGATGACGGCCATATTCTTCAAGATGGCTGCCATTTTGAGCCTATCTGTGCTAACCAGTTGCATTAGCTAGCTATTGGCGCTTTTATTACAAAACATATACCCTCTATTACAACCATGGTGGCCATTTTGAAAAATGTAAACCAGAAAAAGGAAACACAAAAAATATTTGACTTGTACCATTCAAATTATGCAAGCTAACATCTGACAACACATTCATCTAATCGGTGATTTCAGTCCGAAAGTTAAATTTAATATAATGACTGTCTTGAAAAGTCAAAAGATTATCAGTACATATGATTTTTGATTCCAATTATGTATGATTTGACACCAGAAGTTTTAATCTGCTATAAATAGTGGCAAATAAACTTTCTTTAATGAACGTGGCAGACATCTTCAAATTTGGACTATTTAATTATTTTTTTCAAAACAAGCAAGCTCTAAAGAACATCTGTGCAAAAATAGGTTCTTTGTGCAGAAATGCTCAATCATCTGCTGCAGTGATGGTTATCTGTCGACCTTCAGATTATCCTCTGCCACTCCTGATGTCTCCACTCATGTTTCGCTCACCTGTGGAAGCGTCCTCTCTTCTGCTCCTGCTGCAGCCGGATGTTTTCCAGCTTCAGCGGGCTGGGAATGAAGCCGATGTCGCAGCCCTCCTTCACCAGGCGGCCGATCCACCAGTCGTTGTTGTACTTCTGCGAAACGAAACGGGAAAAACGAGCTAGAAAACAAAACTTCCATGACTATGTTTCAATTTTCACTAAAATAAAGACGAAGAGATATTTACATTTATTTACATTTAAAAAAAAATCATGGCGAAAAAATGAGTCAGTTTTGGATTTTCAGCATTCAGTTTCATAGACATTATGGGGTGACAGTCTAAGCGTGAAAAAGTGAGCAAAACTTGATTTTTTAATGAAAATACAATAATATTTGGGTTCATTTGGGTCCAGCTGATATCAATGTCATTGACAAATTTCTTCTGTACGATTGTAACTTTCTATATTTTTCAGTGTTTAAGCGTTTCGTTGTTGTTTTATGATCCAACCTTGTCTTAATAAATCCTCACATTTGACAATTGTCCATTTTTTGGTTAGTATATAACATGTAATCCAGATAAAATGTTGTTAACTGGATATAAATATTCCTGCAAGACACTAAAATTTGGATTTCAGTTCCACCTAACCACGGTGGGTGGAGGACTGTTCAAATATCCATATCCTCATCTTATAGGTGTCGAATCATTATTTTTAGTAATAAAAGCCTCGCACAAAACCCATAGCCAAACAATTATGAAAGTGCTGTTTGGTTGAAAACGTTACAGTTTAGAACAAATCCAGTGGTCCGCAGGTGAAGCGTTAACAAACTGCATGTATCGTGAACCTCTTTGATGTGGAGGAAGTCCTTGGCGTCAAAAGAGACGGCGGTGCCCGGGACAGGAACGTCCTCTTCCAGCGCTCCGCAGTAGCCGACGTTGGTTCTCACCGCAAATGCCACTGCTTTACTCTGTGAAGTGAAAGGAAGTGAAAGTTAATTATCGTCCAATTTTGTTCTCATTCCAAAGCCAGGAAGCTCATTTAACACAGAAATAAATCAGTTTATAATAACCGCTGTTGTTTGGACTTGTTTGGTTTAGGATGACTGAAACCGATTTGGCAGGAACACATTTATTTTTTTATTGAATTAAAATAGGACTGAAAATAATTGAATTCATCCAAAACATTTTAAATTTGAATTTCATACAAACTGAAGGCATAGAGGGGACACGTTCTCCATCTCTTCTTCTGAAACTGCAAAAGTCTGTAAAAATCCCCATTGAAACTGACCTTTGCCCTCTCGAGCTGAATGGTGGCCTGCTGCTCCCTCTCCTGCCGGCCGCCCTCCTTCTCCTCCTCCAGGGACACATCTGAGTCAGACGGTCGGCTTGTGTAGGAATCAGCCGAGCCCTGCAGAGCAAGCAGGGAAAGAAAGGACACCCACCTGTAACTGGAAGCAGTGAAAGGCAAAAAATAATAATAATCTCAATAGAAAACCAGCGTAGTAGCGCTATGGGAGTGATATAGATCAGCCTAGAGAAGGTAAGTATTTTGCAGCTGTGACTGAATCAAAAGCGTTCGACTGCAAATAGACGCCTGACCCGACAAGAACCAGTTAATGAAATGAGCGCAGAGACAGAGCAGTGAGTGGGAGTGTGAATGTTTGGACTGCTGATGTTTTTCATGACTGGTTTGTGTTATTTGTCCTGTGGGATCTAAAGAAGACGGATAGTAGATGATAAATCGTCTGGACTGAAAGATTCAGAAAGTTTTTCCCCCCAGAACATGAAATCAGATCCATCAAGGGAAAACATTTCTTCCTTTATAGAACAACTGTGAGGGTATAAATAGATTTTTAAAGTAACTTCTGTGTGCGCTCCAATTACACAGAGACCATCACTGGACAGACGTTCTCAGATTCACCTTCTTAAAGGGGCGGTATCATGTAATTTCCAGCACATAGCACCATTTTATACCACAATAAGGTACTTATGTTACCTTCAGTTGTTATGAAAATACTGTACATATCAAACACTACATAAAAGACATTTTACTTTGCAATTTGACCGCTTACAAAAACTGGCTTGTGTCTCTTCAAGAAGCTCACGTTCTTTCTGACACTCTGCCGTCAACATGTCATCACAACAATGCTCCTCCATTATGCCGTTTTTTTAGGAGCGCTGAACTAAGAAGCAGTGCATAAGCTGAGCAGGTGCGGCGTTTCAGAAGGTGTTTGCTAATTGCTGCTGCCGCTAGTCTGAAGGAGCAGAGTGAGGGATTTGTAAGGGACTGCAGCTCCGAGGAGGAGCTTTGGGAAGCAGGTGCTGCTTTGTGAGAGAAAGACTTCAGGCACCAGAAACACTAACAAACCAAACCAACCCCAAGTTAGCTACCACTGCCATATAATAACCACTCATTACAGATTTGAATACACAACTTTTCTTATAGCTGTTATGTTACCTATATTTTTTGCTTGATCAATTCACACAACAAAAAGAAGACAAAGAACAACAACATAAGCAGGTCTTGTAGGTGTTTACATCACCAAATAAAAGATTCCCTCAGAACAAACTGGATAAAAACACAGTCTTGTCATGAACGTCAAGCAAAATACACCTTTCCAGTCAAGAAAAAGAGGATCATACAGAGAAAACACAAATCCAGAGGGACTTTTTCACTAAACACTGATCCAGTTATCTTATCTGTTTCTAATATTGGCTGGGTTGCTGCTGCCGCTGCTTTGTGACAGAAAATCTGTACTTCACACTACAGCTGAATAATTACCGGATTAGCATAAACACTGAGCAGTTTCTTCACAGCCAGGAGAACAACTAGATCCTGTGCTAAGCTACAGAAAGTCTCTTGGATCCAACATCCAATTTGTTATAAATGCGAAAGACTCGTACACAGTAAGCCCAATAAAAGTGTCATGAATGGCAGTGTGAGGTGGTTAGGCAGACACAGTGGACCCAGCAGCAGAGAGAAATGATGATGATTTAATTAAAAAATGCACAAATAACCCAAAATTCCAGGCAGCACAGGATGAGCGGACGGGCTAAGGCTGACCAATGGAGCAACCGGCAATAATCCAAACAATACTCGACATGACAAGACAGAATCGACACATAGACACCGGTGGCATTAAATACACAGAGGGTAATAAGGGAATGAGACACCTGGGAACAATCAAGGGGTAGACAGGACAACACGGAGACTCAAAAGACACGAATCTAAAATAAACACACAAAATACTCAAATCCTCACAAAAAGAGGCTGTATAACAAAGATGGCGGAGCTCTGGAAGCTTTAAAATAACAATCACTCAACATGTTATCGCAATTGGGACACGGTGAGGTAAAACGAAAGCATTAAGGAGACAAGTCAACAGGTGAAGGGGGGATGCCATCCTCGGAAGCACCTGAGAATTAGATAGAAGAGTCCAGCCAACCTGGGAGATTAAATTGTTTCTAAAATGAAAACCTTGTTAGTAAGAGGATGTTCTAAAGTATCGTCTGTAAATCTTTAAATAGGCGCAAATGCACACGTACATATGCCGGCTATCAAGAAGTCCGGATGCACTACAGCAGCAGTGATCCTTGAGATGTTTGATCCTAAGATAAAGGCTGTCTTTCAAGCTGTTGATGTGGTGGCTGTGGGAAACCTCCACTGGGCAGACTGGTCTCCGTGGGAGCTGGGACAGTTGTACAGAGATGAAAGAACCGAGATAAGTGCAAAAAATAGCAAGTGGTCAGAGCAACAGTCACAAACAAGTATAATATAGTCAGCAAAAGCCCAAGACATCAATATGTACTCCCTGCCGCCCAACTGGAGTGACTTACAGCCCGGACAATATGGAGGACAAGAGGGCAGTCGTGATAGACGCAGTAGCATTGTCAGGAAAGAACACAGAAAGCTCAGAAGAGCTCAAATAGGAAATAAAGAGGCTGAGGAAATTCAAAGCCTGATTGGTGCAAGTGGTCAGTGAAGCACTTGGTGCTTCGTTTAATTATATCAAGCTACAGGCTGCTGTAATGTTTCTGTTTCTTATAATCTATATCTCTGTCATACTCCATAACCTGGCTTTCATAAGGTCCTAAATACTGACTTATTGTCGTCACAAAGCCTTCAATGACCTCAATTCCAGTTGCGATTCAGAAATGTGATCTTCACTGATGAGAGTACATCTCTTTCTTCCCGGTGCCATTCGACGGTGAGAATGATGGCCGCGTTCCACTCAGATGCCTGAACGTGGAGTTTGTGAGGCTTGATGCAATCACACAAGCAGGCAGCATTTGTTACTGACGGTGAAGACAGGAACAGACGGCGGTTTCCAAATTGCTTAAACATTGCTGAGATGCATACCGTTCAGCTGGTCAAAGAGCAGGAATTGTTTCCAACAACAAAGCTGTTTTGTGGATGTCAATTTTCTGTTTTCTGACTAAAATGGTAAGTTTGAAAGATTAAAACAAACCAAAAAAAAAAAGAAAAATCAAAAAAATCACGAGGCCAGGTTTTCTGGTTCTCCTTCTGGTCCATCAGACGAGGTGCATTCTGATTTCCGTATGGTGGATGTTAAGCATCCTGCCTCCTAAGCCAAACGGTTTGAAAAAGTGCAATGCAGCAAAAAAAGCTCACCTAACAGATGATAGCACCATCTGCTGCCTGTGTGCACAAAGCCACATACCCAGTTCATCATAAAACATGAATAAAAGCATGTATCTATAGTTGAAAGCAGGGGATACGCAACACAAGATTTAATGTTCTGATTTTTTACGTAAAAAAAGAAAAAAGAAAATTAAAGGACACCAGTCTTGAACGTGAAAACAGTTTAGTACTGCTGTAAACTTTCAGAAACACGACTCAAGTTAGCAAATTTCTGAACATGAAAGCTATGAGCAGCAATCTCCACAAATCTGTTTTTTCCAAAAGAGCGGTAAAACAAAAAGCCTTTTGGTACAAACCACAGAGGTCAACGGTAGTCATTACATTTCGGATCTGACTGAACAATATGCCATTAAATCTAATATCTCCACACGACTAGAGTGTTTTGGTATAACTATAAATGATTTTGACTACATTTGTTGTTGACATTTGTTACAAATTGGCGCTCCCTCGATTAAACGAGATAAAACTGAGCTGAGCTGAGTTGAGGTGAATACATGGATACTGTTGAAGAAATGCTCTTAAAAGCTCCATAACAGAAAGTTCACATTCCTGCTGAGCGACATACAGCCAAAAGTACAATCAAATTAAAGATCAAGGCTCACTGAAGTGTTTGAATGGCTTAGTCAAAGTACAGACCTCTAAAACAATTGCAAAACTAGAAAGCTGATGCTCATTCTCCATCCATTCTGACCGAGTTTGAGATGCTTTTGGAAAGAGAAGTGAGGAAAATCCTCTATCACCCTATAACTGTTTTGTTTTTCTATCACATCAAGTTCTGATAAAATACTTTGTCAGAGCTTGACAAAGTATTTGGTAAACTGTCAAAAAGAGGAAAACTGTGTAAAAGAAAAATCTGTCATAATATTTAGCAAAAATCTCCAGTACACGCAGATCTTGTAGAGCTTGACCGTTTTTTTGTGTCATTCGTGAAAATGACATATTATGTCTCAGTTTTGGAATGAGCAACTTAATTTTCTGTCTACGGAAACAAAAACAACAAATGATTTTTTGTTTGTACAATAAAATTAACCCTTTCTAAGCCGTAGCCTCAATGGCAAATGTCCTAAGTTTGTATTTGTCGTCGTATTTTTCTGTTTGCAGATAAATACAAAAATAAACTTATGACCCTTCCTCACCTTTTAACAACATGTGCCCTTTTTGAAGGCGCCTTGTTGAAAGCTGGATACATTGTCTTTGTGAAAATATCACGACTCCGGCAGAACAATAACTCAATGAAAAATGAATCCCACAATGGATGTGTACAGCAGAAAGTCTTTAAAACCAGCAGGTCGGGCTGGAAGGACAGGGAGAATTACTGCCTTGGTTCGGGGCTTCTTGGCATCCCCACTAATGATCCATTCAGAGCCAGGAGAGTCGTTTCTTTCTTGATACAAATAACTGTTATTTACGGCCTCATTACAAATGAAATCTATAAACCGGAGGACTGGAGAGAAGAAGGAAGAAACAACACCCCCCCGCTCCCACCCTCCCAATGCCACAGGCAACTACAGACGATCGCCTGCTTTATTTTTAGACAACAACTACTTCATTGCAGCGCCTATAAAAAGTGTTCACCCACTGGTTGTTTTTACCATTTTCATTGTTTCTGCGAGTTAATTACGATCAATTAAATGTGCCCTTTTCCGCTTTTTACAAAACAATACCAAAAACCCCCTGTAATGTCAAAGCGAATAGTGTTTTTTACAACAAAATGACAATTTTAAAAGAAAAAGTAGCACCAAATAAGTTAATTCCAGAATTATTCACCGTTTTTAAAGCTACTGACCTAATTTAACAGAGGTCCAGACAAACGGTGCTTGCTCATAATGAGGAGACTGCAGTGAGTTTGTCTCCAGGGTCTATAGCATGAAGACACCTCTGCCTTGAAGTCCCTTCATTGCTTCATCTGGTGTCTTGTTTGTAATTTTTTCATGTTAAAAAAGCCAAAATGTGTTGATCATAATTGATTTTTAAAAGCAATAAGAGAACATCAAAGGGGTTGAATACCTTTTTATAAGCTCTACTAATCAATACATTTTCTTTATTTTTGTTTTAACACAATGGCTTTTAGCTCTCCGTGGCTGCTTGCGTGCGGTCGAACTTCACAGCTCCTTCCTGCCTTGCGCCGTGATAAACTCCTGGCACCGTTTACCCATGAATCAGTGCGATGATGTCAGTCTGAGCGCATGTCACTTTGGAGCGTTTCCAACGTAACTATCGACGACTTCAAGAAAGTCAAGTGGGCGGTCTTGAGTCCGTCGGCCGACACACTCGAGCCTTATCTGTGCAGACGCCACGACTCGGCGGCCCTCTCTCTAAAAGCATTCCTTGTGCGGCGCATCCAGAGGCCTGGAGGTCAGAGGGGGCAAATGTCTCCAGGTTTGGCCTAAAAACGCCGTTCCACCTCACTATGGGCACCTTGGTAGCTCCAGTCGTAGTACAACCACTATCATACTGCGAGGGCAACAGGCTTCCTATTTTACATAATACCTGTTGTAAAGATGAGTCATGCGTTTGTGTATGGGTCAGTACAGTAGTGGCTGTAAAACTGCTTTGTAATGCAAATACCTCTACGTATATTTTCCTACAATAACACTGAACTTGATCTGCAGTTTTCTCCTCAGAATAACAATGTGGATTGTGATGCTGGGGCCATAAATAACACACAGTGACAAACCTAGTAGTGTCGTATTTAGGGCTATTCCTGACAATCCCTTTAAAATAAATTACACAAAAGCATTTCCTGATTCGGTTGATCAATTAATAAGCAATGATTTTCTGTTTCCTTTGGGGTATAATATGATGTCACACAGAGGCCTATTGCTTTTAATAGACCGCAGCAGGGTCTGTATTTATTTTGCCACCATGGTGAAAGTGAACATTAAAAGGAGACGTCATCTGGGTGATGTGTGGCGGCGCGGGGGTAAATCACAACCCACGTAAGGGTCGGGTGCCCAGAGAAAAGCAAAGACAACCTTAAACCTTAAACAAGCCATCTGCAAGGTTAAGCGTGATGATCGCCGCATCATGCTATGAGGATGAGGTTCTAAAATGCATTAAGGTTTGTGGCTGTAAGTCGTAAAGTCCAACATGAACTCTTCACTAGGAACTCTGGATTCTTCCCCTCTTTTTCTGTTCGTTAGCTGTTGTTGCTTCCCTGCCTCTTCGCAGAGGCACAAGAAAAGTTTTATTTCCCAAGAAATGTACTTAACAGCACCAAATCCTGCCTTTAGCCTCCTGGACTGGAATATATAAGGCAGCACCTTAAGCATACTTCAATAATTACCTCCACATCACTGCAACCAACACCTTGGGGTTGGCAGCTCCAGAAATCTTGGTACCTTTTGATTTTTAGCTTAAACATGACATCAAATACAGTCCAAAGTAAATGAGAAGTGTGGCTGTATATAAAATGTCTCTAAGGAACAGGTACAGTATGTACTGGGTGAGAATGGGCCACGTTCCCTCTGCAGGTGTCATTACAGAAGGAGTCTGAGCCTCGGCGGGATTCCCTCATCCTTTCCTTTGGAAGCTTCTTCCTGCCACTCTCAGACATAAGTGTAACCCATATCCCACATTTGCCTTTTTGTACTTTTAAAAATCGATAGCTATGCTTCTGTCTTTGGATCAAAAGGAAAGCTAGAGTCAAACCAAATTTACCAAATGTTAGAAATTTCAGCATTGACTTGAAAACACAGACAGGAGGAGAAGCTGTCATTCGGTTGAAAGCACAAAGTGGGAAAACTGGCACAGATAAACACACCCTGCTGCCTCCCATTCCCAAAGAAAGATGCAGCCTCTGTTCCCCTTTCAGTCTCATCCTCCTGTTTCTGCCAGGTCCAAACCACTCAGCGACAACATGAGAGCTTTATGTTTCGGCTTCTGTGCAGCAGATCGTCCCCCTGACACCCAGTCCACTTACCGCCTCCGAGTCTTCGAAGCCATGACGGTAGAGGTTATCGTACATGGAGGACCGAGACTCCAGGAAAGCGAATCCCTAGCACGAAAGACCCGATCTGGAGAGGACGGATGAGGAGGAGAGGGGAGTCGAAGAGCGCAGCAGCAGCTTCTTTCTCCACATGAAGGTAGACAGCGCTGAGTCCACGCCACAACAAAGAGGCAATATACAAGAAAAAATAAGAAAGTTGGTGCTTTTTCCTTCCTGATGTGGAACGGAGCGTCAATGTCCACAAGTGGAGTGAGCGCCCGATCCCATCATAAGGCGAGATTGGTTATTCCCCAATTCACAAGACTCTGGCGTTTCATCTGCCTTCAGAGCTCTGGTCTCTCCAGTCAACCCTTCCTCCATGCACTGGCTTATAGCAGTGTTGGGATGCTGCTCTACCATTGGCTGACGGAGACTCCAGTCAGCATGGCTAGGCTGTGAGTAAGGCGGAGAGACACACACACACACCCACGCATACAGAGAAAGAGAGAAACTGAGACGGCGGTGTCTGAAGCCTGAGAGCATCATTAAGCAACAAGATGTGCATGTGTGTGCGCACAGATGTAACCGTGAATGTGTGCGTATGTGTGTGAGGTACTCTCTTAAAATAAACAGCCATTTGCAAAGACTGACATTTAATTTACACATGCAGAGGTGACGGGGCTGAGGGATGATACTGTAAACGGGAGCCAGGACCGACGATGTTGGTGCTGCTGGAGTGTTTCAGGAACCGCTCACGTCTCTAAAGCTTCACAAAGGGGCCATTAAACCAAACCGTTAGCGGTGGCAGCGCACAAACACAACAGCACATCAATGCGCACGAGCTACTGCACACACCTGAATGTGTACGGATCGGCTGTTTCTATTTGCAGCCATTGATGTCAGTGATGCGTTACAGACGTTGGACCACTTTTTTTAGTAACGAGTAATCTAACGCGTTGCTATTTCAAACCCAGTAGTCAGACTACAGTTACTTATTGAAACACTTTGCGTTACTGTGCGTTACTATCTTCGTTTGGAATTGAATTTTATTTCCTCTATGCGTCTTGGGGAGTCCAAAAACCAAGCAAACAATAATTTTAAAAATAAGAAGTGTTTTCACCAAAACCTAATGGGACAGTGAGCAATTGGTTTTGTACAATGTTTAGGAAGAGAAGAGGAAGACAGAAATAATGGAGTTATTTTTCACTAGAAAGTCAATACACTTTTTTTTGGCATTCTTCCTGTAACTAAAATATAAGTTAGACACATATAAAAACTGCAGTGTTTCTTACTTTCTTTTCGACTCGTCTAAAAATGTTTAGGCTGTGTTGCTGAGAGTCAATATATGTATGTAATGTTTAATCCTACTTTGATGTATGCAAGAATCCCCATTAAGTAGAAAAAAGTACTTCTTCAAGCTGATCATTAAATGCATTTGAGACTGACCAAAAACACTACCTTTCAGTATTGACACAGAGATGTGAAAATATTTAAAGGATTAAAAGGTATCTGAAAAAAAAAACATGGAAATGTATAACCTCAAAAAATAAAAATCAGGTCCTCTTACTTTCTGTTTAGCCATTTAAATTCAAGTGAAATTGAATGTTGAACACACAGGAAGAAAACAGAGCACAACTCCCTCTAGTGGTCGTTTGTGTTCGGCGAACTACATCCGAATTTAATCTTAAACTTTGCATTTTGCCCTTTCCTAAAACATGTAACTGACAGTCGAAACAATCGATCTACGTTTCAGTGAACAGCTTATGACAAGCTTGAGTCCTTGAAGCTTGAAGCTTCGCCGCTACTGGACGTTCAAACAGGACAGTAATCCCAAAAATACATCAAGCGTTGTTTTGAAATGGATAAGGCTAAAATTAGGTTCCCAAGTAAAAATAAAAGTTGACTTTGAAGCGCTCCAACTGTTCGTCAATAAAATGTCTAACAGGAAGAGCTGGTCAAAGATCCAGGCTGATACGTAGTTTCTCTACAACTGTTTGACCAGGTATTATGCATCATGCATATTTATGAGCTTCTATGCATTTGTGCACACAAATCTTACAAATGAAAGAATATTGTCGAAATTGTACTAAGGAGTGGAATTCAAATTGTCAAATATCTTTTATTCAAGATACAGAACAAATTACTGGATTTTTGCTCGTTTTTAGGAGATTTAGATAGAAGGCGTAGTCAAAGCCCGATAAATCAGCTTGTCAGAACTGACTCTCTGGGACAGAGGAATTACTCTGACACCATAAAGCCTTGAGGTGTTAAAGAGCACAACACCATGGCAAATTAGACACAAACTCCATTAATGAAGTCAGCAATGAGAGTCGCCTCATAGGAAAGGACTTGAATTTGGTTTTTAACTAAATGTACTGAATGCTTTTGTATTAGATAAAGATATTTTTGTAATTTCTTGATTTAAAAAAAAAGGTTCTTCTCAACATGTTTAAAGCTTATCTAGAAACAAACAAGAATTATTGTTTGAGCCAAGGGAGTTCAATTTACTGCTGATATTAGGATGCAAAAGAGACAAAAACCAGCCATGATGAGCATAAATAACTGGTTTTAGATTTTATAAATCAACAGAAAATGTTTCTTTTTTTCAGTTGAAATTGTTACAAAACTTGTTGACATGTTGCATTATAATGACTGGTGTTGTTCCAGTGTACTTACTCACTGAAAAAAGAAAAAGAAAAATTAGTTGATAATTCACTGAATTCATCAGAGAACTCTAGAGATGTTATTGTTTCCAAGTCAAGATTCAGATCTGTCAGAAAGTCTGAAATCAATTTTTACATGAGACGTCTGCCATCTAGTGGACTGAGACTGCATTGCTATAGGTTAGAAATTCAAATCCGCCTTTACCTCCAATCTTTCACCTCCAATCATCAATTCTCTTTGCATCTGAATGAAACTTTCTAATCTTTAAACACAAAATTCTGCTAAAATTTTAAACAACAAATAAATTCAATAGTGAAAAAATGAAACCAACACTGCAATTGAATATTAAATCCCACCTCAAAATGACAGAATTCTCTAATTGAATCATTTTACATAGTATTTTCCATAAGAGAACACATGTGTAAAACAGATGTGGTTCTCAGGAACGTCTGACCCAGACGATCCGGGCTTGGACAGAACACCTCCGGTACCAGAACGGTGACATTTCGTTGTTAAACGTGTGGCTAAGTCGAGAAAATCGTCCAAAAAGTTGACAGAACAGCGGACACATCGCCTGCGTCCAACAGAGGACAGGTACAGGAGATACTTTGTAAAGAAAATCACTGTCGCTCCTTATTACACAATGTGATGATGATGTTCAAGTGCCACAACTCATGTAATTGATTTTCAGTCTTAAGTGCAACTTAACTCTGAATGTCTTGATCAAACCAACGTGAGGATAACGGTCCGGAGAAGAATGCTCAAAATCATGGAGTGGCACGATGCGCTCACAGGTTGGTGAGAGGTACAAAGCGGTGACTTGTAGTATCAGTGATCAGTATCAGCAATTTGCGAATTAAGGGCAGCTGCTGACTTCAGCCGGGTGGCCTAAATAGCGGGAGATAAGCCGTGCGAAGTCCAAACCTTGTCATTTTTTAGGCGGCAAGCAGAAAAATAAGGTCAAAATCCAATCCAAGCCACAGCCGTGCATGTTGTGACTAAAACACTGAAAGGATGTAAGTGTTAGATTTGGACATTGTAGGGACCTGGTCGCAGTGACGTAGGGTTTGAAGACACGACTGTAATAAAAGAGGTGCTCTACTGCATCGAACACCTGCGTGTGAGCCGAAGAAATCTGGTTTCCCCGCTAACATTCAAAGCATAAACACACACTGTGGCACTGAAAATCTAAAATATGGACCAGATGCAGTGACTGGTCTATATTTTCTATATTCATCATCATGCGCCTACTTAATGTGTATGTATTTGACTGCTATATAGGCTTTTAGGTACACCACCTGCATTTTGTATCACCACCGCAAGTCGTCAATGGAAGCCCTAAGGCACAATATATGGTACATTTGAATTAGAACCCATTTCAATGCTCATTTCATTGCATCAACTATAAACCTGGCATCTTAAAGGTTATCAAATCTCCATAGCAACCATTAGAGGTTATCAACATGACAATCAGTTCTTTTCAGGAGTGATGCCAAAAAATGTATCCTCTGTCCTACAGGACGTGGTGGAGGGTGTGGTACGCCATCACAAATGTAAACATGCAGAGTTTGCTAGGCATCACCATCTGTGCACTTTAGTCAGATGAGATTAAGATTCAGCTTTTCAGCTTTCTTACACAAAGCAATACATAGATATGTGGAAAACATAAGAGTATGGCAACCAATTCGTGATGCCTGTTTTTCCTCAAAAAGCCCCGGTAAAAGTGTTGGAGTCCATGACCACAAGAGCTCTGACGTATTGTTATTGAGTCCAAAAGATGGAGGCGATTTGACGTGGAAATGCTTCACAATCAACCCTCTCCCATGGCCGTTTCAGTCTCCAGACCTAAATCCTACAGAAAGCCTGCGCTGTGAGCCGAAGAGAGAATGATCTGTCTCTCTGCAAATTACTGCCTCATTAATGTTACAACGGGGGAACAAAGAACTGCTCTGCTGGTGACTTTGTTCAGTCCAATAATTTCTGAACATATCTAGCAAATGCAATAAGAGATGCACTTAAAAAAAGCACAAAAAAACCCAAAGGATGATAATAATAATAATAATAATAATAATAATAATAATAATAATAATAATAATAATAATAATAATAATAATAATAATAATAATAAATTTTATTTGTAACGCACCTTATATTTCAAAGAAATCTCAAAGTGCTACAGAGACTAAAAAAGATAAATTGTAAAGCTTACAGTAAAACATAAAATAATACATATCACACAAAGTGGTAGAAACATTCAGCTCTCAAAGTCAACAGATGAACATTAAGAAGGTGAAAACTACTCTGTGCCATTTCGGCGCTGCAGCTTGGGATTACTCTGCAGTGAACATCTGCTGCTGTGTCCTCTTTTAAGGAGCCGAGAGGCTGGCCCAGAAAGCGATCCCACATCCCGCACACCAGCTACTCATACAAGCATCTGTCTGTGTCAGCAGAGCGAGGAGAGGCCCCCCCACAGCCCACTGATGTGGCACAATGAAAACCCCAGAGGATCTGATCTCTGTCCCATACATCATGAAACCAGAAGAACATGTAGACATGTTTTATCGCTACGGTACTGTTATCTCGCTTGTTTTCTGTTCTGCTTTTTGTTTATTTTCAGACCTTTAAGAGCTCAGACGCGTCACTCTGCAGACTCCTCTGCTTCCTTTGAACGAGTCACACACGAACGACCCGTCTTCTGCC